AAAAATTGGTGAGGGGTGTAGGTGTGATGAATTTTGATGAAAAAATAACATATTCAAATAGCAGAATGAACAGAATTATAATGAAATATATCAGCATGTTTAACCAAACGGCAGGAATTACTAGGCACAATACCTAGTTCAGCCCAATTTTGCAACTCTAAGCAATTCTTAAAGCTTAGTTTTGAAGTAGAAATATTCAAATAAAAAAAATTAGTAAATCTTTAGATATTCTTGATACATGAAAAATCAAGGGTGAAACCTGTATACTATAAATATACCAAAAATTCCACCTGCTGTTCAAGCATTTGGTGACTAATGGTGAAAATTGTCTTTCAAACAAACGATAAACAAGACCCCTAATATTTTATATAGGCCTTGCCATAAAATCTGTAAATCTTCTTTGTGCTTTCCTTCATTTTTGGTTCGTTTTGATCAAACTAAGGAAATTCACATGTCTTTTAAACCAGTAAAATGTGTAATGCATTCTAACTATAACAGCTCAGTTAGAATAAAAGGGAAGCAACATATACTATGAATTAACCATTAAATAAAATAGCAGATTGACCCCCATCACCATATGCACTATTGAAACTATACGCTGCTTTTTTAAAAACGTTGCTTACGTTACTTTTTGAAATTAAAAGTAGATAAGGGTTTAGAAATATATATATGTATATATATTTATATATATGTATATAAATTCTTGTCTGGGAATTAGCTAATCTATTCTGTTGACCTTTGACACTGTTAAAGCTAGTTTGTTTTTCACCGTTCTCCCCAACCCCGCCCCGCCCCAGAAAATCTGATTAGTAATAAAGTGAAGTTCAGCTATAAATAAGAAAGAAAAAGGCTGTCACTCTAAGAGGGATAGTATATCTAATTTTTTTAAAAAAAATCTTGATATCTGAAGTATGTAACCTGCCCTTACTGTTTAGGGAATCTGAAGGAAAGGGGGAAAGAAAGAAAGAAAGAAAGAAGACAGGCACACTTTGTTGAATCAATGTAAGAGTTATTAACAAGAAAATCTTAGCTTCAGTTCTGTTTAAGGCACCATGTAATAGCCGAGGTACAATGATCTCTGATGTACATTCTTAAATGGCAATGGTCCGTCTAGCCACCTAATATCTAATTTTTTTTAAAAAAATCTTGATATCTGAAGTATGTAACCTGCCCTTACTGTTTAGGGAATCTGAAGGAAAGGGGGAAAGAAAGAAAGAAAGAAAGAAGACAGGCACACTTTGTTGAATCAATGTAAGAGTTATTAACAAGAAAATCTTAGCTTCAGTTCTGTTTAAGGCACCATGTAATAGCCGAGGTACAATGATCCCTGATGTACATTCTTAAATGGCAATGGTCCGTCTAGCCACCTATTCAAATTCTACGCAATTGGGAAATAAGTACAAGTGACATGTGCCAGTTTCACTGCCTTTAAAACATTTTTATATAAAATGAAATCCACTTAAGAACCAGGAATTATTCTGAGCAAAATTACAATGCAGGTTGCTACATTCCTTGCATCCTATAAACTATCTTTAACAAGAGCAGCAGGTTGAACTATCATGAGGAAAAGGACATAGAATTAAAAAGTCATCTGAAAGGAATGGTTTCCTGCATGTCCAGTTCAGCATAAGTAGCACATACACTTAAAGAAGGAATCAAGATGCTTTTTAAAAAACTTCAGTATCTAACATCAGCACTGAAGAGCAGAATGCATCTGGGTAGTGGTCCCATATGTATATGAAGTGCAGAACCCAACAAATGCTTCTGTAGCATGACCTCCACTCACTTAAATGTGATTTTGCTCTTGTTGTAAATCAAAGATGCCTTAATTTGAATCTTGTAAAACTCTAATTAAAATGAATGGAGGTTGCACAGAGTCAGTTTTTGGGCAAAATGTACCTGAAATCAGTAGTCTTATGAGAGAGGAGCTAGTATCCCAAAATTTAAAATTGATTTAAGGAAGCTTGAATTGTCCATAATGGTATCATCTGTACCTTTATTAAGTACACATTACCATGTGCTATCAGAGCTCTCATTTATCCTGCAAACAGTAAGAATCACTCTTCCTCTGAGAAAGAAGACAATCTATGTTCTCTAGAATTATAATAAATTTTCCAATATATCTGTTGAGCACTCTGAAATGTATCAAAATAGTATCTTCCAGTTCTCTCCAATGAAAGCTGCCTTTTAATAATAATTTTAATGCAGCTGCTATCAAATGAGCATGCCTCCAGTGTAAATCAAAGAGGAAAATTCTTGATATTTCAGAGTGCAATTAATTAAAAACCCTATTTATACGAAATCACCATGACTAACAGTTAACATTAAAATATTTTGTAAGAACTATGAAAAAATTAAATTACTTTTAATTATAAAGAGGACAAAAACATTAACATTAATCTTCGCAAAAATGCTTCTTGACTTTTGAAACTAAGAAAACTCTTTATATTAAGCGGCCAGTGTAAAATGATTGTATTTACCTTTCCCCCCCAAAATCTGACAAAATACATAGACCCATTCCATTTCACAACTCCAGTAAAAGTACAGATAAAATTTGACAATAGTCGACTTTCAGAAATCTTTTTTGCATCCCTCCCCTCCCCTATGATATGCCCAACATCAACAGGGCTAATACAATCTGAAAAAAGAGCTTTAAATATTTGTTAGACTGCGGTATATGTATTTCCAGTAGCACTACACTGTCTGATCGTTTGAGTAGCTGTAACGATGTGCTCATTGTGAAGAGGGTTCAAAAGGTTCTGCTGTACTCCAGTCTCAAGTACTGGCTGCAGGCAGCCCACCTGAAAGGCCTGGCTAATTTCAGTCTTCTCTCTCTTTGCTTGTGGCTCTCCAGAGTCATCCAGCTCTTCGTCTATTTCACTTTCAACTTCACTGCCTTCATCTGCACAAATAAAACCACCATGAATCCTGCAATCTGAAAGAGCCATGTTACTATGAGATATAAAAGCTTAACAACACTAGCAATGTGTCAAGTTACTGGAATTGGATTTTTCTGTGCCCAAATCCAATACTAGCTAAATTAACTTATGTGCACTTGGCTGAGCTTCACCTTTCTCCTTTTCAGTTAGTCAAATCATCCAACGATTCTTATATTTGTAGATGAATGCTTATTTGCCAGCAGCATCTTAATTTCCCATCCTGATTTCTACTATGGGGGCTGCAAGTAGGAGAACCAATACCCCTTCTGTGATCAGAAATTACTTCTTTCATGGAAATAAATCCTTGTAAACACAAACCCTTTACCATGTTTTGTAGCTATTTCAGTGGAGACTGTTATCTTACTTTCATAATGGATGAGTAGGATCTGAACCAGTGCACAAGTTCAATATTGTACAGGTGGTCCTTGTTTAACAACCATTCAACGACTGTTTGAACTTACAATGGCATTGAATGAGTGGTAGCTATGACTTGACCTCGTACTTACGGCTGATACAACGTCCCTGCAGTTACATGATCACAATTTGCAACCTTCCCTGCTGGCTTCCCAAAGAAAAGTCAATGGGGAAGCTGGCAGGAAGTTGGAAGTTGCAGTCATGTGAGGTCTTCACTTAATGACCTGCATGGTCCTTGTTTAACAATGGCAACTGGGACTGCCGTCACTAAGCAGCACAGTCACGTGGTTTCTTGACCTACAACCGCATTGTTTAATGATGGGAGTTTCTGGCCCCAATTAGTGTCGTTAAACAAGGACTACCAATATCATACCAAATTCAGTTGAACCTTGTTCATACTGCCAATAAATTAAATGGATACTATGTTTCACTGAGTGAAAGGTCCTTTGTATGAGATGCTCTTCCTCATAATCCCACTGGCTGGATTCACACATCATACAAAACCATAATGTGATTGGACTGTGGATTAGTATGTTCTGAGACCCTTGTCAATTGCAGTTTACTCAATAAAACATGGTTAAACTATAGCTTAGTGCAATGTGCAAATCAGATCACTAGTTCACCTCTTTTAAGAAGATCTCTCAACCTTCAAAGTACACTTTCAGTTAAAGTAGAAATGCAAGAGTGAAGAAGAAAAGCAGGAATAACATACAAATAAAGTAAACAAATAAATTTATAATTCCCTAATCAAGTTGAAGATCTATAGTATGTGTATACTAACCTTTATCCATGTTTCCAGGAGACGCAGCATTTAAATCACCAAACTGCAGAAAAAAACAAAAATAGCATCTTTTTATACAATATGTTATACTAACAATTTCCATAGCAGTCAAATCCTCTGTGAAATCTAATCATAATCAGGATTCCCAAGAAATAATGTGACTATTATCATCCACAAATGGAACATCTGTAACATCTTTCAGATTATGCCATTCTAGGGGTGGTTCAGGGATTTCTAGAAGTGAACCCTTCAAATTAAAAGTGGTTTAAAGTGTTTCAGAAGTGATCTGGATCTGAAAGAGGCTTGATTCTTCCAAAATGCCATATCCAGCTTGTGTTTAAAAAAGAGACTACCAAAATGCCTAGTGCCTGGAATGGGACCAGAGCATTCTAAAGTTGGCAGAATCTTTCACAAATCAATGAGTTTAGTCCATCCTTAGTCATCTCCAGATCATTTATCCTATACATAATTATTTGAGCTTCTACTACTCAATCTTGTGAGACTATTCTATGCACTACGACAACAAATGTATTCTAACACATACCACAAAGCCTTCTAATCTAAAGTTAAATTGTGTACTGTATTTAGGAATGAAAAAAAAAAGTTAAATAGTGAACAAAATACTAAAAGAAACTACATGTATTGCCTAATAATTTCTGAATAAAAGTAAAGAATTCTTGTTGCCTACTTTTGTATATATTTTCATAATGCACACTGTTCATTTTAATCCAGAAAGCAAGTGTAATGAAGTATATGGAGAGGGGATATTTGAACATTCTTGATGTCTGTGGAATATTAAAAACATTCAAATATATTGATGCTCCATTTATAAGATCTATTATTACTGTGTGCTTCAGAAAGGAACCATCATATCTTCCCAAGTTCTAGGGGATATTTGAACATTCTTGATGTCTGTGGAATATTAAAAACATTCAAATATATTGATGCTCCATTTATAAGATCTATTATTACTGTGTGCTTCAGAAAGGAACCATCATATCTTCCCAAGTTCTAAACATTCAAATATATTGATGCTCCATTTATAAGATCTATTATTACTGTGTGCTTCAGAAAGGAACCATCATATCTTCCCAAGTTCTCTTGAAACAAATTTGTGATGCAACAAAAATAAAACCCCTAATGATAATTTTGAACATTCTTGATGTCTGTGGAATATTAAAAACATTCAAATATATTGATGCTCCATTTATAAGATCTATTATTACTGTGTGCTTCAGAAAGGAACCATCATATCTTCCCAAGTTCTCTTGAAACAAATTTGTGATGCAACAAAAATAAAACCCCTAATGATAATCATCTTCAGTTAATAAGAAGATGACTATTAGGGTGACAGAAAAAAATCTTACTAGGGATGAAAATATTAGCTTTTTATTATTTACTTCAGATAGATACAACAAATAGTTTTAACTATTTTAATTTACCCACTTTGAGTGTCAAACTACTGGTCAAAGAAGGGGGAAAGTTTGAATATTGAGCAATACAGGAAGACTACAAAATTAAAAGGAAGGAGCAGAGATTTCAGAAATTTGCACAGGATTTGAATGGTAAGACAAAAATACTGGACCCAGTATTTAGTGTGAATAAATATATTCAGGATGTACAGTCAGACAAAAGAAAATGAATTTCTGTAACAGCTCTATATAGATTCAACTTAACTGAAACTTGATTATATCCATTGTATCTAAATCTTGGATGAAAGGAATTTAATTATAACTGATCCACACTTACTTCCTAGAAAACACATGTACTTAACTAAATATAAATTAATGAGGTAATTTACTCCTTGATGTTTAAATAATCTGGTAAAGGATTCTAACTGTAGACTGACCTCTCCCATAACTGCAATAGGTGTCTCTCCTGTGGCTTGAGCAACACGATGTTCAACTAAGTAAAACATATATTCATCATATAACAGACGGATCAGATGAAAAGAACCAAAGCTAGCAGCACTGCGCAGAGTTAAATCTCGAATCACCATTGAGCTATATTAAGATGAAAATACAAATGAAAAACATTACCATCAAATAAATATGCCAGAAATCTCTGACACTTTCAACATAATTCTAATAATTACATCATTTAGGCCAGGACAACATTTCTTTTTTTGTCAATGTTAGTATTCTTGCAGGGAAAAAAAGGGTGTTGTAGTACATGCTGAAGAGTGGACAGGCTAAAGCAAGTTGTAGGCAAGAGTAATGCTGAAAATGGATACAGCCCTCCATCATCTTTTCCTACTCCCTCTTTTCTCTTTCTCAAGATTCAGATAACTCTTGCCAGAAGTCTAAACTGATTTCTCTAAAGGGCTTTTAAATGTGACTAAGGTCTACATGAATCTAGGTGAAGGGCCCCATGTGACCCTTTGTTTGTCTATTCCTTATTTAGGCATTACATTTAGATAATACTTTAATAATTATGTTAATAAATAAATGGCTCATCATATATAGCTGGACTTAACTAGCATCCTTATTATTGGTTGATGGAATGCATCTCTCTCTCCTTTCCTTTTAGAATACAAATTCTATATAAATGACTTATAAGCAACATCAACTAAAAATAAAAAGATAATAAATAATATTTGTAAAATCAAAATATGCTTAAATGGTTTCTGTTGGTAGCAGTAGCCCCTGGAGTTAGGACATTAGAATCTGGCTGAAGCAGGCTTCTAGGGTGGTCTTCACCTACTTTCTTTCTTCCTACTTTGGATGTAACAGAAACTGGTTACTTTAATCAAAGAACAGGATGAAAACATAGTCTCACTATGGCATAATTAGAAAAAGGTGAGTGGAGGAAGAATGCATGAATTCAAGCTCCACTGCTGCTTATTGATGTCTCTCTCCCTCCCTACCCAGTGTCACTTATACTAGTGATATGGCAAATTAAAGCAGAGACGTGTAGCAACATCTATGATTACTCATGGCTGAGAAGGTATGATCTGGTTGGTATATGTTCACAAGCATTCTAGAATGCTTTAAAGCAGCTGGGTCTTTTCTTGGGACTGCGTAACTGCTGCATGATTCTGGCAAAAGATATGTTTGATTTAAGAAATTGCAGACAGGTGCTACATGCTCATTCCTATGCATTTCAAAGCACCTTTTTGCCTTTGAACTCAAAGCATTGCACTACCCTACTATATTGTGACAAAATATAACCTATTACTCAAGGCACTGACCTGTAGAAAGACCACTTTAACAGAAACTGGCGTGCTGCTTTAGGAAAACTAGGTCTTCCTTCATATGGTTTCAGTGCTTGCATCATTACATTATCAAGCCAGGCAGCCCACTGCTCCAGAGTGCTCTGCTGCTGAAGAGTCATCTTGAAATCTGTTTCTAACCGTTGTACCATGTTGTCATCACACTGGCACACCCAGGAAGCCTGCTCCTGTACCAATTCAAAAAAAATTTAACAGAGGAGCTTCAAGTGCCCGAATTAAATTTCAGTTAAAGTTGCCTAGAAGGGAAAACAATGAGTAAAACAAAAAAGAGGGAAGAATAAGTACTCAATGAACAAATCAAGGGATAGAGGGCATCTGTATTTTCTTCTGGGTAACAAAATAAGTGTCTGTATGTCATTGCTCTCCCCTTGTGCTGTGTCTGTGGGCATGTTTGTGTTCATCTGTGTACTGGGAAACTCTGGGCAGGTTGTATTTCCTCCACTCTAGGTAATGTGACTTGGAGAGAGAAGGAAGCCTCAGCATGAAGCAGTCAGCAGTCTTCTGTACTGCTCCTCAACTACCTCTCCAATAGGGATGCAAGGACAGATTTTTTTCTGTAATTATTTTCTCAACAGACCCTGGCTGGATCTGGTTCATTTTCATACTTGATGTTTCTTTCAGATGCTTCTTTCCCCACACCAAATTTGATCCAATTTTGTTTACTTTTCAGAGAATTATTGTGCTGGCAGATAGATCCCAAGCTCCTTTACATAATGTCTTTTCAACTTTCTGTTGAGTTGGAAAGGATTAAAAATGGTTTCAGAGGTGGAACAGCCAAAGAAGAGGAGAAATGGAACCACTGGACATGTGGATGTTTTATTGAATGGGCTGTATTAAAAAAATCATTTGATAATTTCAAATAGGCTACTAAACACTTTTTTCCAAAGCTTTGGCTTTGACTGACAGATATACAGTAGGTCACAGATATATTAGCACAGATGATAAGAAATACCCAAGTCCCCTGTCTACAAGCTAACAGGTGAAAATCAGAGCAGTTGGGGAAAGAAAGACAATGGGCTATAGAAATGTTTCATGAATATTTTCTTGCAGAAGCAAAAGATTATTGTGGCAGGTTTCCTCTATACTGAATTTTCCCTGGCATCTCTGAAATTCAAATGCAAGGAGTTACAAAGCATCCACGTGCATACCTGGACATTGGCAAAATCAACACGGTTGAGGTCATTGAGCATCTGGTTAATTTGAGAAGTGTTCTGCAACACAGCACGTGCTGCCTGAGCCAGATGATTAAGAGATGTATATCTTCGCAGAGTCTGAGCAAAGGCACTTACAGCGGCAACCTAAGAAGAATGAAGAAAAAGGCCTGATGCTCATACTCTCTTACAGGACTGGAGCTGGTTAGCAAATTTTACTATGAGACCGTTTTTATTGAGCAATACGCTTTATACCCAAATATACCAATTTTGTCTTACAAAGAAATCTAATGAGAATATGACTTTTGGAGATGATATATATGTACACAAAATAACAACAATAATACAAATTAAATAAAAACAATATTCACGTTAATATCTTCCCTGCACTGAATCCCTGGCTCCCCTCCACACCCCACCCAAGCACACAAAGGAAACACCATCTTAGAATTTTCTGATATACATTTGTGTCAGTTTGCTATGAAGTATAAGGGATCTAAAGAATATGGTACTTATAAGATGCCATCTAGAATTCTTCAGTAGATATTAGAGAAGCAGTTCCAAACTTTCTCCTCAAAGACCACTACAGCATCATCAAAAGCTTTTACCAATTAGATCACCACATGAGCAAGTAATTTAAAATATTTTTTTCACACAGTCTTTGGCTGATTAGAGTAAAACAGTATTATAAGAGTAACTACAGTAAAACTTGGATGTTATGGTCTCCCATTTTAGTAGACTTCAGAGAAAGAGACAAAATTGCAGTTTGGATTTTACCCTCAAATAATGGAAAAGCATCTTGTTCAGCAAATCCCTCTGAACAATTTATGGTAAATTACATAAATTATGTAAAATAGATTTGGATATAATCAACATTTAGTTACAGAAACCCCTTTTCTCAAAGCAGTCCATTAATCTAAGGTATTACTGTATTTCTAATATTTATTATGCTAGTTCACAAACATATTACATACAATACATTTATTATTTTTATTTTATTTATTATTTATTATTAAATT